AGCGTAACAGGAAGCAAGTGCTGGAATTTGATAGTCCAAAAAGAATGGGGAAAATCAGAAGGGTCATCTCAGAGTGCTCCATTCCCCATAGGTGTCAGGTGATAGCTAACGAACACTGACAAGACAGGCAGGCATCTGTATGTGTCCCAGCGCACAGAGACAGGGAAAGTGTCCCACTTATCTCTAAAGGCTATGCCTAATCTGCACACCAAAACCAGGCAAGGACAACCTGAAAAGGGAACATAATTATGATGCTTATCATTTGTGACTACAGATGCAGAAGTCTAAACACATTCAAGTGAAAAGCAGAAAGATACATGTACTATGATCGATCTGTAACAGAAAGGCCGCCTGTGAATGCATGCTTATGTATGTGTGTATTAATGGGTCACGTGAATGTGTTTACACACACACAAGAACAAAGATATAGGACCAGAAATGTGAGTGGCACACGATGATTGGGACAGGAGTGACTGCAGGGGCAAATGGGGGTAAAGAGACAGGAAGTGGAGAAGGGAGATATTCAGCTCTACTCTATATTCCCATTATTCTTTAAGTTTTTATACTTAGCATGTTCCATGTCTGATAAATAAAATATAAAATAAGAGCAGAGCCCAAGTATTCCTTTCTTAGAACTGCTCTAGTTACTACAGCAAACTCTGATTCTTTTATTCACTCACATTTACTCATTTAACAGACAAGGATTCAACTGCAGCATGTGTCTACCGAGTTAAGTTGAAAAATAAGCACACTCATCACCATGTTCCTAAACATGCCAGTTACTTCTGTAAGACATGGTGCTGAGAGACTTAAATCAACTTCCATTTTTATCCATGCCAGATTTTCTAAATCTTATACTTTAAAAAAATTATCATTTTCTAATTAATAAATGTATTTATACTCAATTATTTGACAGATGTTAGTCCCTGCTTATGTGTCAGGTGGCACACTGCACAATGGACTTGTCATGAAGAATGAATACTATATGGTCCCTACTCAGCTTCTAGGGAGTGGGGAATTTTCCACACATTAGAATTTTAAGAGGCACATAACAAGCTGGAATAAGAACCAATACTTCAAAGTGAAACTGCACCCTCCAAAACAAAATTTAATTCCAACTTAATCCAGAGAAAAATAATTATTTTTTGTACAAAACTGCTCAATTATTTTAGTCCTCAAGGGAATAAATTAATGAGAAAATAGAAGCCACCAAATTTGTGGGCTAACTATCTGAGAATAAGCACAGGGCTCTAGGATCAGCCAGGCATGAAGAAGCAGATGCTAGATACACCATGGCTGTTTCCCCACCTGAAGTAAGGAAGCCATGCCTTTCTCCATCATCAGGATGGGGGGAAGCCATGCCTTTCTCCATCAGGATGGGGGAAGCCATGCCTTTCTCCATCAGGATGGGGGGAAGCCATGCCTTTCTCCATCAGGATGGGGGGAAGCCATGCCTTTCTCCATCAGGATGGGGGAAGCCATGCCTTTCTCCATCAGGATGGGGGAAGCCATGCCTTTCTCCATCAGGATGGGGGGAAGCCATGCCTTTCTCCATCAGGATGGGGGAAACAGTTTATGTTTAAAAGCAAGACGAAATCTGGTAACAAAGCAGTATGTTCATATACTTGTGTACTTTCATCTGGTTTAATTTTTCCCCCCAACCTTGTCACTCATTAACCAAGCAAAATGTAATTTCTGCATGCCTCACAAGTAGAAGAATGCAGGAAGTAAAGTCAAAAGAAGTCCACATTCAGATGCTGTGTCTAAGTGTAAAGTTTAAAAACAAACAAATCATAGAATCTTTGTTCACCTACCAGTAAACTACATAAAATCTACCTTCTAGCATGATTTAGAGATCAAATATAAAAATACCTGTGAAGATATAAACTATAAACATTTCTCCAAATAAAAATACACCAATAAAATAGAAACATTTAAAAGGTAAAATGTAGCTGGGCAGTGGTGGTGCATGCCTTTAATCCCAGCACTCGGGAAACAGAGGCAGGAAAATCTCTCTGAGTTCAGGGGCAGCCCTGTCTCGAACTCCCCTCCCAAAAAAATGTATATAAAAACAACATCATTGGGCATACATTAAGATCAAAAGGACTCATCAAAAATATAAACATTACCAGTGAAGATAAAGAAAAAGGGGAGCCCTTGGGTATGGAGGTATAACTTAGCTGGTAAAGTGCCTACATGTGCAAGACTCTGAACATCACCACCTACACCACATCAAAAATAAATTAATAGAAGAAAATAGAACCTTCATACATTGGTGATAAAAATGCCAATATACAGCAGCTATGGGAATGGTCCTTCAAAAGGCCATATTCACCATGTGACCAGAAATTCCACACAGAGGTATAGTTCCAAGAGAAATGAAAATATGTCCATAAAATATTTGAAAGTGACTATGCACTGAAGCATTATACAAAATAGGAAAAGTGAAAGTAACCCAAACAAGCGTCAGCTGAATTAATAAACTGTAGTATATCCATACAATGGAATAGCATTCTCCCATAAAAAAATTACATACAATAATATGAGTACCACACAGTGCAGAATCCCACCTATGGCATGTCCAGAAAAGGCATATCTACAGACACACGGAATAGCAGTGCTTGTCTAGAACTGGCTGTGACACTTCCACAACCTTGTGACTATGCAAACTACAAAACTATACACTGTAAGAGTGAATTCTATAGCCGGGCGTTGGTGGCGCACGCCTTTAATCCCAGCACTTGGGAGGCAGAGGCAGGCAGATCTATGTGAGTTTGAGGCCAGCCTGGTCTACAAGAGCTAGTTACAGGACAGCCTCCAAAGCCATAGAGAAACCCTGTCTCAAAAAAAAAAAAAAAAAGAGTGAATCCTATGGCATGAAATATATCTCCAGCAAGGCTATGCAGAAATCTAAGTGTCCACTCCTTTATTAAAAAGTGCCCTGCTCTCCTATTCTAATTAGGTTTCTGTTGCTGAGACACAAGGAGAGGAAGGGTTTAGTTCTTCACCTGAAGTTACAGTCCATCATCAGGGGATCCAGGGCAGGAACTCAAGGCAGGCACGGACACAGTGGCCATGGAGAAGTGCTGCATCCACGGCTTGCTCAGTTTGCTTTCTTATTATATAGAGCTTAGACCACCAGCCCAGCAACAGCACCAGCCCACAGTGGACTGGGCCCTTCCACATCCATCATTAATCAAGAAAATACCCCCACAGACTTGCTACAGTAGGCCAATCTGGCAGAAGCAATTCCTTAATTGAGATTTCCCTCTTCCTGGCTAAGTCTAGTTTCAGTTCAGTTGACAAAAGCTAACCAGTACACTAAGGTAAAGGCCTATTTTTTCCCCAAGAGATTACCCCGTTTGCCTGCATGAGTTAAAAAAAGTTTTTCTGAAATTAGATACTATACACAAATGGTGTCTTCAATAAAGTTCACATTAATCTGCTACAATCTTATTCCTTAAAAAGAATCAACTATACAGATTGTGTTTATTCTATGGGAATCCTTATAGACTACGTATACATACATCAAGATGTATGTATTTTTTCAGATACATCATTAGTAAGAGTGCCTGTTTAAAATCCCTTTGGGCACCTGTCAATCTACTGAAACCTAGGTAGACCCAACTTTTCTGTCTTCATTCTGCATTCTGCTTGAGATTGCCGGGTCCATCACTGCACCCTACTCTCTCCCATGGACTATTCCAATGCTCAATCCCAGTGGTTAAAATGTGGATAAACTCTTTAAATGCATAGAGTAGAACCAGTTTTTTAAGGTTAAATTTCATCTGGAATGTCTGAATACATATTCAGCAAAATGATTTCCTGGAATTTGGGATATAAAAATAAAGCCAATAGGGAAGTGTAAATGCTTTGCAATTTCTTTAGAGTTTTTGTTGTTGTCATCACCAAGTTCTATCCACAAAAAGTATTATGTATAAAGGCTTCCTGATTCTAGAATAAAGAAAGTATTTTATTGCCTAAAGCAAAAGGAAGATATTTTCCTTCTATTTAGTATTGTTATACTAAAATAGCATACCAATGAAACCAGCGAGGTGTGACAAGACCCAAGGTTTGTAAACAAAGATAAACTGTTCTTTATTGAGATTTCTTCCTGGATTAAGGGTAAATCCATCCCACTAAGAAAATAAAATTGATCCAACCAAAGAAAACCACATGAATTTTCCAACATAGGGGTACCCTGGGTGGTAATTTTAATGCGAGAGCTTGTCAAACTGCTGCAGGCATGGTGGGTTATGCTGGATACAGACAAAACCAGAAGACAGCTAGGACCTGTCAAACAGCAGCTGTCCAGTTATTCCCACAGCAGCACTCCCAACTTCTCTGGGTGAGGGCCATGTGCGAGAGGATGTCAAAGCAGGGAGAACCACCGGGTTGTCAGTGTCTGCATTCCCCTGCCGCAGACAGGGTGAATCCCGCCATCCCCTCCAGAGCTAGGAAGACTGCAGCTCTCCTTCCTTCTAGAGGACACTCTCTCCGCACCCGGGCCAAGTACCTCGGGCCTCCCTTTGTGGCCCTCTAGGGCTGGAGGGCTATGACCGGTCCGCAGGCCCCGGGGAAACCGAGTCCTACGGGCGACCCCTGAGCTCGGGCCCTGCAGCCCGCGTCCCGCACCGGCGGCCACCGGCGCACACAAAGGAGCGGGCCGGGACGCGGAGACGCAGGGGCTTGCCCGGGATGCCCGCACGCGAGGAAGGAGGGGACCCCTTGAATCCAGGCTGACACTCAAACCTGTTGCTGGATTCGGGGCTCGGGGACCCCACCAGGGCTCGGGCGCGACGGGTGCGGGCCGAGGCCGAGGCGGCGGGAGCGGGGAGGGCCCGCGGGGCTCGCACCTCGGGCGCTTTGTCTGCGGCGGGCGCGGACCGGCCGGCCGCGGGGCAGAATGGGAGGGGGGACCGCGCCCGCCCTCCCGCCCGCGACCCGCGCGTCCCTGTCCCGCGTGGCCTGCGCCCCCCGCCCCGCGCGGCCGCACTCACCTGGCTGGCGCGGGCCGGGCTGGCGGGCGCTGGGGACGACGCGGGGACGCCGGCGCGGCGGGCGGAGAGCTGGGCGAGGCGGGAGGGAGGCGGGCCGGGGGCGGAGCGGCCCGGGCGGCGGGCCCGCGGCAAATCGCTGCCCGGCCCTCCGTGCGTCAGGCTGGGGGGCGGCGGCGCGGGTGGCCCGGCCACCTCCCGGCACCCGCGGCCCGGCCCGTCCGCGCGACCTCGCGTGCGCCCGTGGCGGAGGCGCGGAGACCCCGCCCGGCACGGAAGGGGGCGGGGCGCCTGGGATTGACGTCCTGTGGTCCCCACCGGGAGGAGGCCGGCCGCGTGGGTGGTGGAAGCAGCCCTGGCCTGGGGTCAGGAAGTGTGGCTGGAGTTGGAGTGGCCCTGACACCCGGTTTGCTTCCTCCAGCTTCATCTACCTCCCCGGAGTCCCCGAATTCCCCGTTGGTCTAACGTGACCCCTGTGTGCTGGGATGCCTGTGGTCCCCTGTACCCAAGGTGGGAAACTGGAGGGGAAGGGGCTTCAGGGAGGAAGGACTGGGTGGGATTCCAGACTTTTGTTTGGCTCTGGGGGATCTTTCCAATGGATGATCCAAAATTCACAAACGGGGCTTTCTGAAGATGATTGCTTCAGAGTCTTCTTTCTTATTTTATTGCACAAGTCACTTTTAGGTCATTTCCTGAATTCAATTCTTAAGAGTCATCCACATAAAACCACAATGGCCACATGGTCCCAATTCCAGGCCTTCCGTAGAACTCAAAGTGCCACTCCAGCGTCACCCAGTTCAGTTGATAAACTCCTTCCATTCCAAATAAACACCCAGCTTTCTCTGTTTTAAGCTCTCTGGCTGAAAATATGAGATAGATTTCTTCCTTTTAATTCTGGGAGACCAGTCTGTATCTATTGTTACTTAGTTGGAGAAGCCCCAATTTCACCACACTGAGGGTCACGGCTTTTCTAAATTCACTTTTGCTTGAGTTCCACGTAACTGCCAACAGACACACCCCCCCCAAAAAAAAAAAAAAAAAAAAAAACAGAGCCCAGCACACCTCTTCTGCCTCTAAAATCCTTAGAGGTTGAGTCCGGCAGTAAACAAACCCATTTAGACTCGCATTCCTCAACCTCTTCAACTCAAGTGCAGTCTCCTTCCATATCCTCACAGAGCCCAGCTTCCAGAGGCTCTGAGGCTGTGCGTCCTCCCACTAGGAATCTATCTCTCACTTAACCATCCCCAAAGACAGCGCATGGCTTCCTCTCCCCAGCACAGGCTCACAGGCCATCCTGTCACCAGCCACATCCTTACCCCACATACTAAATTAGCCATTCTTTCCTCTCTGCTTTCATAGAGCCCCTGATTCCTTTAGCGCTTTCTTTTCACATTTCTTTCTTTGGTGAACTTTCCTTCCTGGACCGTGTGATCCTTAAAAGGACAGAGGTTTGATCTCCCTGATTTTCGCTTTCCCCAGAACATAGCACCGAGCGCAACACGAGGAGGAAAGTTCTCTCTTAACTGTTGAGTTTAAGTCATTTTCTAGTCATCAAAAAAAAGTACTAAGCATCAATGTAATTAAAGATGAGGAACTACAACAAAATCGCCACCCTAGTGTGATTTGTTTTTCCGCCTTCTACTCTCTGCTTATCATTTTAAAGTCTATTTTAAAACCACTCACATTCTTTGTTTATCCTAATAACACAAGAGCATGCCTAGAAATCCACCTGGTAACTTACAACACCACCTGACTTTTACATACACCCTTTACCTACCCTCCCATTCCATGCTGGGTCTTCTAGTTACTTGGTAAGGGACAAGAGAAATGAACAAAAACAAATGAAAACTATCAGACTGAATTCACAGAATGAAGGTGCTGCAGCTCTCAGTGACTGGCAAAATGAGCTTAGTTCCATCATTTCAGTTGAGTAGGCCTCAGGACCAGAGTTCCCTTGGTTCTGTATTAACATCTGGAGAGAGAGAGAGAGAGAGACAGAGAGACAGAGAGACAGAGAGAGAGAGAGAGAGAGAGAGAGAGAGAGAGAGAGAGAGAGAGAGAGAGAGAGTGTGTGTGTAGGGGAGGGATTCCCAGATCCTTCCAAACAAGTATCCATCCATTGCTTGAGTTCCTAGTGATCATCTCTCACTACACAGTGTCATTTTTTTTTCTGAAAGATCCTGCTGCCCAACTGTGTGTCTCTATAAACTAAGTGGGTAAACAGTGGTATTGGTAGAAACATCACCTGGCTTAATTCTAATTCAAAGTAAAGAAGGAAGACTCTAGACCTATAATTTCTTAGCTCTGCAACCTTGGACAGGCACAGGCGCTGCCAGTATGACTACTCAAAAAAGGGAGTAGCAATAACAATGATTGCACTATAAGTTATTATGATAAAATATGAAGTGAAGCGTATCAAAGCATCCACAAACCTGAATCTAGAACTACAATTTGTTTCTGGGAACAGAACATCCAGGTTCTTCTGTGTGTAGCCTTGGGAACATTTGATAGCAGCAATCACAGTATGTTCTCCCTTATACATGCCCCTTATTCACACTCCACCCACCTTCTCCATCTCGTGAGTGCCTCTTAAATTGTGCCCAAAACAGAATCTCCAATTCGCCTGTGAGTGACGGCATTTCAAAGCCACATGAATGCCTTGCTATCTCCCTATGCTATCCGTACATATCAAGCAAGGTATCATCCACTAAAAAGAAGCAAAATTGTTCTCAAATCTCCCAAGTCTTTACCACAGACACAATGGTAAAAACGGATCTTCTCCATACCGCGTTTTGTAGCTCTGAGGAGATCTTTACGTAAGTGCCTCTTAAATATCATTTTAGATGTCCTGCACTAAGAACCCATGCCAACTAGATAGAAGTGTGCAAGAAGAGCAGTCAAGGTTAGGGACAAAGAATCCGAAGATCACTCTAAGCAAAATGTTTCTAAATTTCATGTTTTCCCATGCAATTTCCCTTGGGCATCTTAAAGCTGCTTTTAAATACTATTTTAAAGGCTTTGTGAACCCTTACGCTCATCTTGTTTTCATTTTCTAACAAACTAACATCGGAAGCCACCTTTTATGCAAAGAATCTCCCAATGCATGGTTTGTTTGGGCCTCTGAAGAATTCACCAAGGTAAGGCAGACCAGAGTTGGTTAATGCCTTTTTACTGGAGCATTGGAACATTTGCAAGGCACCCCTGGTGCCCCCAGCACTAAAACTGGCTTCCTGAAGAAATTATAGTTCCCATAGCCCTTGCTGAAGGGGCATCCTCAGGAAGTACTCTTGGGCTGTGTGTGTATGGTCCCTACTTGGTGTGATGAGCAGGCAGGTCACACTTTAAAAAAATGATGTGTGTTGGGGGGAGGGAATCTCAGTCCAAAAAGTAGTCCAATCAAGCAACCAGCTGGAGAAGCCCCATGGAAAAGGAGATAGGAGATATAAACGTAGCCAGGAAAAGAAGAGCCCTGACACAACACTAGTGGACAGACATTAAGGTCAGCCGTGCCATGCCTAAGCAGAGAGCATCTGTTCTCACTCATTTATGCTATATAGGTACCCACTTTGCCTTACATACTGGGGTTACAGTATCAGACACAACAGAAACTTTGTTTGGGGGGGTCATGGATTCCGGAGTGGGAAACAGACAATAAGCACAATGAATAAGAAAAGCACATGACATATCAGAAGACTGTGCGTGCCGGATTAAACAATGTAGCAAATAGAAAGAACAGGGATTGGAGTACATTTCCTAATTACTGGACTAGGAAAATCTCACTGAGAAGGTTCCATACAAGAGGCAGAGACACAAATTGCAGGGGTCTGGGGTAAAGACAAGACAACACGGAGATGATGGAAGCAGAGGGCTCCAGGCAGTTGGAGGGTCCTCATGGGGCAGGCGCCATGTGGGACGGAGCATTCAAAGCCTTCAAACCAATTAAACAACAACCAAAGAAGCTATGAGGGAGGCCCTGCTGAAGCACAGGACTTGAGGCAACAAAAAACAGAAAGTTAACATTTTAACATGTCAAAAATCAAAATGTAGGCGTCGTCCAAGTAGGAATGAGCATGTGGCTCAGCCGGAGAGTACTAAGTTGGCTTCAATCCCCTGAAATCCTGGATTCAGTTCCCCAGTTCCGAAGAAAAGGAGAAGAAAAGAAAATTGCCAAACTCGATGGCATTAATTTTAACAACACACATATAATATTAAACTTTTTAAAGAAAAAGGTTTAATAATTTTACAAAAACGATGGAGTGTCTGATTTAATCGTTTTTAGATTTGACATTTTAATTTCCAGATCAGAATTTCTCTCCTTCAATGAGATGGGTATAAAAATCAGGATATCTTTTTAAATATTCTTTCATGGTTCCCAAACTCTGTGAATGGACCTTTTAAGCTAGGTTTCTGGCTTGTTTATCCTCTTAAGGGCTCATCATGTAAGCCAATGACTTTGGAGAACTTTACCTCACGGAAGTTTTCCTAAGGCCAGTGTAAGCTTGTCTCTTCATGGGTCATCTGGCTTAATTTTCTCCAATCACAAATTTTGTTTTGTTTTGTTTTATAAACAAGCCAAACTAAACAGTAAAGAGTAATATCTGGTTACTACTGTTGCTAATCATCAAAACACTTTAAAACAAAATGGGGACTTATTTTTTTCTAGTCATGGGTCATAGGGTTTGTTTTTAAGCTGGAAACCCCCTCCTCTATTTGAGTGTCTTGGTTTTCATGGAACACAGAGAGGTTATGCGACAAACCAAACTCCAGAGTCATTGAACAAAATATCACAGCCTAGAATCCAGACCTTCTGTTTGCCAGTCAGTCTGAACAGTATACAGATATCCGTGTTATCATCTTTATGTGAGTAAGCACATGTTAATATCTTAGGCATAACAGAAAGTATCCCCCTTAAGCATCAACAGCGCTTTAAAGATAACAGGAGTGAAAAGAAAATTTCAGATGAGAAAAAAAACTGTAATTTCAATAAATATTTCCCTTCACTCTTAATTAATATCAGCTTTAGCTGTATATTAACAAAGGATGCC